CCCCCCCCCCCCCCCCCCTGTGAACGACGACTGCAATACTTTTCACGTTTCTGAAAAATAAGGAAATGACCACATGTGCGGCGTACGGCGCCTGGCGAACGTTGAGATGGCAAAACAAAACTCGTCTTCAACAGCCTGTGTTCATACGGGGAGTGGAACAGCCGCCAACAACGCGCACCTTTCCCTTTGCCACGAAGGCAGGAACGTTGTCGCTGAACCACTTCCACTTCAGGGCGTCTCCCGAGAGCACGTGCACCACCTGGAAAAAAAAGACGGGGTCGTCGGCGACGGCAGCGTTAGCATCAGCATCAGCAGAAGCAACATCAGCGGCATCGTCATTAGCAGCAGGAGCAGGAGCAGCAGCAGCAGCAGCAGCAGCGAAAACAACGTGAGCGAGGCTAAACAACAAAAACAGCGGCGTCAGCGCCGCAGCGCGCGCAGTGTGCTACTCAACACTCGAGCACCCGCCAAGCGCTCGCCTGCCGCTGGCCGTCATCACGAACGCCACATCGAAGCCAACACAAACACGTGGGGAACCCCAAAGAACGGACACATGAAGCGCGGAGCGCCGGACGCCCGGTGTAGGCAGGGCTCAAGACATTTGCCGGGGGCGTGACGTGTGTACATATCTCACCTGGTGGATGTCTTCGTTGGCCGTGAGGTTGAAACCGCCGATGTGGACGTGTACGGGGTCGTCGAGGATGTCACTCGCCAGTTGCTGTGCATGCAGCACCGAGAGATGTCGGCAAGGCCCCCATGGGATACAACACGGAAGGCGTCATGTGTGTGAAACGAACCAGCGAAAGCACGATTAGACATCGCCGCAACAGAGGGGTTGGTTGGAGATTTAGGGCAGATCGATTGAGAGAGAGACATGGATATGATAGAAAGAGAGAGAGAGAGAGAGAGAGAGAGAGAGAGAGAGAGAGAGAGAGAGAGCGAGAGAGAGAGACATAGAGAGAGAGAGAGAGAGAGAGAGAGAAAGAGACTATGCTTCCCACCCGCCCCGTCTTCGCTCAAGAAAATGGGCATCGGGTGGCGCCACCGCCCCCCGCACAAACTCGAAGCAGAAAGATGAATGCCCGGGATTTGCGACCGGATTAAACAACACACGCATCAAAGGAACACTCCCCCCCCCCGACTCAACAGAGGGGGGCCGCCGGCGGCACGCGGCGAGCTTCAAAGATCGAAGAAGGAAAGGGTCGAAAGAACTGTGTCGTACAGCGTCCCCACCTGAACCCGTCTCTTGAAGGTGGCGCTAAACATGAGCGTCTGCCTGTCGGGTCTTGTCTGCGCCACGATGGACCGCATCTGGTACTCGAAGCCCATGTCAAACATCCGGTCGGCCTCGTCCAAAACCTGCAAAAAATGAAAAGACCAAAACAAACGTATTTGCCATGTGTTCCCTTGCACACCAACAAGGGACGTGGAGATGACGCCATTGCTTCATCGTGATGTACAATAATATTGAAATGAAGCACTCCGCCCGCTGCTCCTTCTCTTCCCGCACCCAACATTCGCGCCACTCTCGTCACCCTTGCTGCTGAAACAGACTCGTCGCTGATCCGGTGGAGCTAACGGGACAGCGAGCACCCACCGTAGGATAGCACACCCCAGTGGTATCTGCCGTATTCATACTATCTTCCATACCAACTATCACCGGGCGTGATCTTAGTGCAGCGTGCGCCGTATCTCGTGTCACTCTGCTACATATCCAGCAATGGTTTCATGCTGTTGGACCCATGCTGACCAACACTACAAATACGACCTTGTGTGAAAATTGTGCTGGGGGGCGCGGGTGGGAATTTTCGTAGCTGTGATACCTTGTCTCGGGGTACTGCACGTTTCGCCGTCTTTGCTGCTACACCCGTGGTTCACTTCCCGCTTCCCACTCTCGCTCACCATCATGGTGCACCTCCGCATGTTGGTGGCCTTGAGCTTGATCATCTCGATCATGCGGCCAGGGGTGGCCACGACGATCTCGGGCCCTTCCTTGAGGGCCTTCTGCATCTCCCACTTACCCGCACCGCCGTAGACGGCGCACACCTTGCACCCGTACCTGTCACCGGCGGCGGAGGTGGAGGTCAAGACAAGACAAGACAATAAAAAACTTTCGTGGGTCGCCTGTGGGTCCCATCTGAGATGGTTGTTGCCGCGAATACCAGCGAAAAAAGAACGTCTCCTGCGACTAGATACTACGTTCACGAGTTTCATATGTTTACTGCGTAGCCTTGAAGGGTAGAGACGAAGAGGTGCACTTGGTGAAACCACCAACGAAACCATAAGCACAGTTAACAAGTAGGTATTTCAGAGTACTTACGTACCGCTCTGGTGGGGGAACCTGACGCCTCTACTTTGAAAGCCACGTGTACCGCACTTTGGGATACAAATACCCCGCACGACAGCAGCCCAGCCCAGCCTGGCAGCTGCAGGCTGCAACACCACAGCCGCGCCCCAGCCGAGCAGGGTTGTACAGGCAGCTACGGCAGGGAGTATAAGACATCACACGCCCCATGGGGCCGATTTCCAAAGCTCGATTTTTCCACAGCAGAAAGAGTGAGGGCGCCTAAAATGCAAGAGTTCTGCCGAAAACGTCCCTATGCATCCTATTCGTCCGTGGGGCAATCAAGTTAGGATAAATCGGCCCAGGGGGTATATTGTGCATACGTGGAGGTCTCTGCTGTGTGTGTGAGTAAGAGATCGAATCGGTGTGTGTTGGTGCCTGGAGAAGGGGAACATCGCGTACCAATGCCCCTGAAACGTGGTAGTCGCCTTTGGTGAGGGGCATGTTCCGGAAAAAAGGAGGAGACCGCACCTACCGTTAATGTGACCCCAAGCCACGACGAAAAAAAACGATTTTGACCGCTTTGAGTAGCGGGAGGACCCCTGCCAGGACCACCTCGCTGAGGGACCATGACTGCGTGGCAAGCGTGTCTTTTTCGTCGTTTACGATGCGAAGCAAATGTACGCGATATTCCAAGCGACGAAACGCAAAATAAGGTACACGCACGTTACCGGGGGGGAGAGGCGACAAATAGAAAGCGGATTTTCATTGGTCAACCAGATGGACAGCTCGACGGGAATCCAAGAAACACGCAACACACACGCGCGTGCGCCCCCCCCAAAAAATACAACTTTCCTTTGGATCTCTCGCATGGCAACAATCCTCCACCAAAACGCGGGGGAACACACACGAGTCCTCGCCAAAACAACCAACCAACCTCTTGGCGAACTTGTTGGCCTCCGTGTATATCTGGCCGGCGAGCTCCCTCGTTGGCGCCAGGATGACCACGATGGGGCCTTCCTTTCCCTTGACGATCTCCCTCTGGTCCATGAGATGCACGAGGGACGGCCACACGAACGCCAGGGTCTTGCCCGACCCGGTCTGCGCCACGCCGATCATGTCTCTCCCCTGGACCCGCGAAGGGCGGGGGGGGGTGAGGTGAGATGATGGAGAAGAACAACTGGATCCGGAAAATGAAAAAAAAAAAAATCCGCAGAAACTGTCGAAAACTTATGCGGGAAAACCGGAAAAGAAAACAAAAGTGCGGGATGGGGTTTGGATCTTCGGCGGGGCGCCGTGCCAAAAGGAGCGGGGCGGGAGGGGCATTCCCTACCGGAGGTGTCGGCGGTATTCGCGACATGTCCCAGCCCAGGTTGGTTTTCCTACAAGGTTCCTACAAGGAACGTCCCACTGCTGTTTTTCTTTATGTGATTACAACAAGACCAAAACGGCCAAAAAACAGGATCACCAGAGCGCGAACGAGACCTACCACAAAAAAAAAAAAAGAGCACACACCGCAGTCAACATCAACCAGAAAAAACGCTCGTGGGTGGTCTCGTTGACAATTTGCCCCGCACTCTCATCACTCTCATCACTCTCATCCGTGGATATAGATCAAATACCTCGTGGTGATATCGTAAGAAAAAAAAAAACACTAATTCATTGTGATACCGTGAGAAAAAGAAAAAGAGACTTGCTATTGTAATTCACTCGATATCGAAAGAAAAAACTCCAGTACCGAATAATTCACTGCTGTGATAACGAAAGAAAAAGAACAAAAAATCCATGGTATCGATTTCACTGCTGTGATATCGTAAGAAAAAGAACAAAAATACAGACTAACTCATTGTGATATATCGTCAGCGAAGAAAAATAAATCGTTCAAAAGACTCTCACCGACATGACTACGGGGAGGGCCTGTGCCTGGATTGGCGTGGGAGCCTCAAAGCCCTGCCGGACAACCTCGGACAGCAGGAGGTCGTCGAAGCCGGCGTGCTTGAAGGACTGCACAGGGGCGGGGACGCCGGTGTCGTTCCTCTGCTTGCCGGCCTCCACCGAAACCTAACCAAAACGTCGAGAAACGGACACACGGGGGGAGGGTTTGGCGGTGACACAGACAGAGAGAGGAGTAGGGGGGAAGTTCGTACTTAAGCAACACAGCAGCCCAATTCAGGCGTAGTCACCCCATGTTGTAGAACGTGAAAGGAGGCGGATAGCTGGTTATCAGAGCAAAGGTTGACCTCAGGGCGTTGATATGTGATGGAGAGAGTGGGGGTAGAGAGAATAAAAAGAGCCAGGAGCCCTGCCGGGGGATCCGCCGCCCAACTTCCCTACCACCACACATACGCATCCACGTACCCCCCATAATTTTCGTACTTGAGGTATCGAGTGCCGAGCACCCCCAAACAACCCACTTACTAACCCCCTTTTACACCCGCCCGAACAATCGCGCGATACATCAATCTACACATGCAGAGAGCTGCCGCTGAGAATCAATCATGCGAGAACCAGGGCCACCAAATCCTCCAAGTGTCCCCTATTCGAAGCACGATTAGATCGTTTGCCGTTGCTCGAAATCAATATCGAACCTACGGACATCTTTTCGACACGAAAAAACATTCGCAAGCTCGAGAACCCCTCCCCCCAACGCCCCATCGACACGATAGGCTAGGGAAATCATTGACGAACCGCCTTTGGTAAAGCAGACGATTGGCCATCGCGGTGATCGGTCCCGTTGCAACCATGCTCCGCCCTCTCGAGAGTACCCGTGGTCAGTGGTCTAACCGCGTACGGCATGCACAACACGGGTGCTCCCCCCTACACGAACAAACCTGGAGCTCGTTGCGGAGTTGCTTGACCTCCCAGGCGTTGAGCTTGGCCATGTCCGGGTGCACCTCGTAGAAAACCTTGCGGAAGGGCTCGTACTGTTTGTGCGGGTCAGAGACAGCAACAAAGGCGGACGGTACGGAGGAGCCGCGATCAACAAGAAGTGGGAAAACCTCTGGCACGAGTGCGATGAACGAGAGATGACCTCGAGAACGAGACATGCACGCTATCGGCGGGCATGATGCCCTCGGCGTAAGCACAGACATCACACACACGCACACTCTCTCCCTCTCTCTTTCCCCCATGCCGCCCCCCTCACGGGATCCCAGTTCATGGCATTTCAAAATGCCTTGCGTTCTCAACCGCACTGAGACTGACGTATCTTAATTGGTCAGCCGGTTAGCGCGGTCGATGCAAAAAAATAAACACACACGCGCGCGTGGTGGTCGAGGTCGGTTTGATGGCGCAAAGATGTCACGTTCAACGACTCACACAAGTGTCGGAGGCGTCCTGCCAAGGCATAATGAAAGTGCGGACACCAATAGTCCAAGCGGGGGGGGCATTAGTATCGCCACTCGGTACAAAATCGGTGCTTCATCGTCACATCATCCTGTGCACGCCCGAACAAACAAACGAAACAAACTCAAAAGCAACTAACAACGGTCTGTCGACACAACCAAACCGCAACCGGCCGAACCCCTTGGAGCGCCAACGCCCAAAGAGCCACGTGCTTCGCCGCGAACCCCTTGGAACACCGAAGCCGGTCATTTCTACCATAAAAATGCCAGCTCTGCGACAGACAGCAACCTCGTGAGAATGGTCCGTGCTTCCGTCAAGACTCTCGAAGGCGGGAACCCCGCAACCATGAAACCATCAACACCGTCAATGCTGTACGTGGGAAAAAGTAAAGCAGCGGGTCCCTCCCATTCGCCAAGCTCTGCCAGACAAACCAGTCCTTCGTACCGTATGCATATGACAGAACGATTCGTGCGTTCAGTACCCCAGTATGTAATTCCCGACGCACCCCGCCCCCGCCAAAAAAAAGAGCACGAGGGACGTCATTCAAAAAAAGAAAAAAACGGGCACAGCAGACGCACACCTCTATTTGTGAATGGTCGACCGGCGGTAGTGCCTCGATCTTCTTCTTCTCGTCGGGCACCCTGCCAACGGGGAACCCGTCACCGTCGACGGGACCGGTCCAAGAAGAACCTTCGCCGTCTTCCTCCTGGTTCCGCACCACCCGCCCGGGGCGCATGAAGGGCACACACACGAACACCGACAGACAGCCACAGGGTTTTATTGGCATCACAAATCTCAAGACGCAACACAAGGCAAGATGGCATGAAACGGGGTGTTGGGCCGAACGCTCCTCGCGCCGCCGTGCATTTTTTGTACAATGGAGCGCGCATACGCCAGGCGTATCGCTATGATCGGGAGAATCGAGCGGCGCGGCAACCAATGACACGCCACAATTCCCCCCCACCCCACCGAAGAAGTCACAACTCTCTCTTGATCAGAGCTGAAAGGCCCTCCCATGGAGACATATTCCGCCTACGTTTCGCCCTTTGCTGCTTTTGCCGCTGGCGTAGAGACAGACATTCGACGTGCCCCCCCCCCCCCGGCCTTGCGACCGACCGTCCCTTCGTCGCGAGAAACAGCAGCACAAGGTGGAGAGAAAGACTAAGGCTCCTCCTCTTCTCGCTCTCACCTCGTCGCTCTCTCCCGACTGCGCCTCCCCTTCCCCCTTGAGGCGGCCGTCCCCCTGCTCCGCCTCGTCCAGGAAGTCGGGCTTGGGGGCGGTCTTCCCGATGTTGGCCGACTCCACCTGCAGAACCACCACCACCACCAACAACAACCGACGCCAAACGACGCCATCCGACGACGGTTGCGGCAACCACGGAGCAGCAGAAAAAGGAGAGGTTGGTCAAGGGCTTCACAACGGTAGCGAACTCCACCTGACAAAAAAATGGTGAGACTACTTGGGCGATGACGGAGACAGCAGCAGCAGCGGTGGGGGCTGTGGGGACCGGCAGCACAAGGCAAGGTGTACGCGTGATTCTACACACGAGCACAGTTTCGGCACGGAGCGACAAGGTGCGAGTCCTCTTGAAAGAGGAGCACACCAGTAGTGCACTCTTGTTCCCGAGCGGACTCAAGAAGGGGTCATACACAAGTCTTCATTGTGTTGTCAAGACTCTCCGGTCTGATCGCCTTGGAGGAAGGGACTCGGCGAGGGTACCAAGTTCAACTCACCACCTATCAGCGGGGCGTTCGTGAAAGACACGGGCAGGGATGCTTGTTGCCGCGACAGGAGGAGTCTCTTAGCACCCGACCGGAGCTACTGCCTACCTCCGATTTCACGCGTAGCTTCGACGTCAACACTGACCAAGGCTACACCAAGCACAGCTCAAACCCGACGGCCCATAAGGTCCATCCTACCGAAACAATCTCTTGGCGACCAGACTCCATGCACACGTATCTCCTGCCTTCACCTGCCTGCGCAACAGACCATCAAACTACCCCCCGCGCGCGCAAACGCGAGGTCTACGACTGCGGCACGACGATTATGAGTACACCCCCCCCCACCCCCGAGGTGTGAACTTGGATCTAGACTACGAGCCTATGTTGGAGGCGCTATTTAGCGTCGGTGAGCCGGCAAAAGAACTGAAAGGAACCACAACCCCCGCCGGACACTCGGATTGGGAAGGCCGAGTATTCCGTATACCTTCCTGAAAAAACACGAAAAACAAGTGGCCACGGTCCAGTTGCCGTAGAGATCATGAGGATGGTGAAGAAGCTTGGAGGATGGAAGCAGAAACTGTGGAAGGGAGACAAGTTGGAGCTGCTGCTGTTTGGGATTCCAAGGGACATGACGANNNNTCCGAACTACGTAAGGAAGTTTCGATGGAGGGTTTGCATCGCGAACATGATAGAAACAGAGAAGGTAAGGAGACAAGAGGCGAGGGCG